GAGATTCTTCTACCTCCTCAGCAGCCAAGACTGCATGGCCACCAACAGATTTAGTCTACAATACTTTTATTCATTTTTTTTTTTTTTTTTGGTGTTAGGGATTGAATTTAGGACACGATAAACATGCTGGTCAAGTGCTCTACCACTAAGCTACATCCTAGCCCCATTTCTTAATGTCTGTGTCATCTACAAAATTATTTTCAAATCCAAAACACTTCGACTGAAAGAAGTATGTAGTATACTTTGGACCATCGTGAGGACTATTTACTTCTCTGCTCTGACAGGCAATAACATAAACACCTGCAGTGCAGTGTTCTTAGGATCACACTGAGATTCAAAACTGTTTCTGACAGATTTCTAGAGTTTGGTCTTTCGTAACTTGGGGCTCAAATCAAAAAGTAAATAAGAAAAAAACAAAGGCGCCTTATGGCTTCAATCCCTTAAGAGAGATTTTAGTTAGTAAAATGAACAAAGTAAACTTTTAATGGTGTGTGGGAGGTGGTTCTGGCTAATCTCCAACACCTTTGTCTCACTATGTAGCCCTGGAAGGCTTAGAAATCATTGTGCAGACCAGGCTGGCCTTGAACTTGCAGCAATCTGCTTGTCCCTACTTCTTGTGTGCTGGGATTCAAGGCGAGTCCTACAAATACAGGCATATACCTCTATGCTCAGCTTTTCCCTTCCATTTTTACTCAAAATTGTCTTTAACATTCCCACCAAAAAATAAAACATCGAGAAACCAGTCAAATAAATCTAGGATTTATGAAAAAGTAGGACTTTCAAGAGAAGAAAGATAATGTTGGAAAAGGTGTTAAAAGGATTTGTCTGCTAACTTGAAAGACAGTTTTGGGTTGGGGGAAAGCCAAATTCTTTGCTATTACTAAATTCACAGGAAAGAAATATCGTTGGCAATTGTTTTCACATGTTTCTGAACAGTGGGGTGATTCTGCTGTGTAAAAAATATGGGGCAACTGAGCCTTTTTTCTACCAAGTGTCAGCCAATGCCTCCAACACTAGTGCTCTCAGAAACAGCTTCTGAGGCGCTACAACGGGAACTGGTCTAATTCAGTCACAAAACAGTATCATTTCTATGAAGACTGAGATTGACTTTTGACCACCTAAATCTTAGGCTCACTGATTGCTGCGGTAAGACATTTTTATATGATTGTCTTCTTTCTGGGTATTTCAAAAATTCTGATGAGGACACCTCTGGGTGAGACTTGGCCTTAGAGGAAACAGAGCTTTAATTGGTAGGAGAGAAGGGAACGGAGCAGAGGCTGACCACACACTACGAGCCAGGGAGCCTTAACAGGCAGGAGAGAACGCCAGACAATCAGAACCACATTGTCAGCAGAAAGAGAGGGCAAAGTATACCCAGAAGATGGTACTGCCTCACAATGTCTCCCTGAAGACCTGTGACACGGCCAGAGTGTGCTCACAAGGAAGGCCTCTGCAATTCTAAAGCAGCACCGCCTTGTGTATGTGAGAGATCTGACTAGAATGTGGGGCTGTGAGTCTCACACTCAAAGCAGAGATGGATGTTTACAGAGTACAGTTTCTTTTGGATGGGAAAATGAAAACTTAGCATCTATGTAAGGACAATTTCCCTGAATCCTGTAAACACACTGTAATAAATTATGAAGACAAGTTCCATATTTAATTATTGAAGATCTAAAAATGCCTTGAAAGTCTTTCTTCTTTCGATATGATTCACATTACAGGCCTTCAGGTTTTTCATTAACCCACATCGACAAATGTCATAGAATACCAAATACAGACGTGATTAACCTCATCAAAAAAGTTTCTGACTTCAGTAATTTAAAAATGCTGACAGTGGTGGTACACACTTATAATCCCGTAACTCAGAAGACAGAATCCTGAAATTTTCTAGGAGTTCAAGGCCAGCCTGGTCAAAGCAGGAGGCTAGACCTACATAGTTAAGACCCTGTTTCAAAACAAAACCAAACCACCAATGCAGCACACTGTGGAGTCTGGTGCCCACTGACACCCTGGTATACATACACAAGGCGCTATCGTTAATTGTGAAAGAGGAGCCATATCTACGTCTTGTTCACATGGGTGATTTCTACTGAGAGAAGTCATACAAAGCAACCACTGCTAAGTCTGCACGTTCTTGTAGACTGGTTTTCTTGTATCCCTCCTGGGAAGCCACCTACACTAAGATCTTCCCTGCCAGGTGTGGCACACTTTTAACCCCAGCTTGTGAGAGGGAGGCAGAGGCAAAGAGATCTCTGGAGGCCCTGTCTACAGAGTTCTAGGACAGCCAGGATGACAGAGAAACACTGAAAAAACAAACCACCACGCTCAAAACCAAAACAAAATCTTGCTTGACACTGTTGCATGGTGCTTTGGCAAGCTGAGTGCTCTGAAACAAAGGACAGAGGAAGGGCCCCAAACCCTTAGAACCCATGTCCCTTTCTACCCCCCTCTCCTCCCCATCTTCCTCACACTCCCCCTCTGTCCCCAAAAGCAGCAGGCCAGATTGAGAATTCCTTTTCTCCAAGGAGAGTCAGGGTAAACACAAACCAAAGTCCAGAAACATTACCCCTCCCCTTACTCTTCAAGGAAAGGGGTCTCTAAGCACCTCTGAAGGGCTGAGACCTCCACTCCAGAAGCTGTCCTGATCTGAGGCCAGCAGAACCAGAACTGTCAGGTCTGTTGGCTTCCCCTAGAGGTTAGCACTGGATCTTATCTTCTTTTTATTGCTCATTGAACTGCAGTATCAAACTGTTTTCCCTGGATCTTTGGGCTATCATTTCTGAAGGCTCTCTGGTCACTCGAAACACTGATTAAATAAACTGTGCTTTCCTCATTAGACAAGTACAGCTATACCCCTTTATGACAATCTTTTTCCTATGGGTGGTCTTAGGGTCATGGAGAAAATATGTAGGATAAGAGAGAAACATCCATCACTACAATCCTACAGATTCCACCACCACAGCCAAATACACCGATAGGCATCTTCACAAACCATCAATATGTTGACAACTAAACCATATGTAAGCAAACAACTATTTGTTTTTAGAAAGGGTCTTATGTAATTACAGGCTGGTCTCAAACTTGCTATGTAGCCAAGGTAGGCTATGAAGTCCTGATCTCCTGTCTTCACCTCCTAAGTACAGGGATCATACGTCTGTACAATCATGCCCACAGGACACTTTATTTTAAATCTTTAACATGTGGAGTGGCACATGTTACAATTTTAAAAAATTGTATCTCCAATATTTTTCATCTAGATTAGACAAATTTAAAGTATTGATTCCAATTTTAACACCTTTTGTGGTTTACATCCCACCTTTTTGAGTGTGTGTGAACACTGAGCTGTGCCCCTAGCTCAAACCAGGTGCCATGGCATCCATGAGAATTCAAGGCTATCTATCCTAGCTTACACAAAGGGTGAAACACACAGGAACCTGAGTTCAAATCCCAGCACCCACACGGCAGCTCACAACTGTCTATACAAAATCTGACTTTCTCACACAGACATCATGTAGGCAAAACATCAATGCACATAAAATAAAAAAAGGAAGATGTTTAGTATCTCCTGGTGACTTTACTACAGCAAGTATTTTCTATTCAAATATGAAATGAAGATCTGAAAGCATTTATTTACCAGAGTTTCAGCAGCATCTATTTCTGACTTTTAATCTTAGAAGTTAACTCTGGCTCTTGGGAATCACTAATAGAAGTCATTACTTCATAGAAGCACAGAAGACAAGACTGTCTTCAGTCTGTAAAATCCAGCATTAGACTGTGTTTCGAGGCCAGATGAGGCACAGTGACCCACATCTTGAGAGTGACTGCTCTACTCTGGTAGTTTTTCACTCCTTTGCTTAGATTTGGGTTAAATGAAGGCATTTGAGATAAAGAGAACAAACAGAGCTCAGACTAGGTGTGGTAGTGCACATCTTTAATCCCAGCACCTGGAAGCAGAGGAAGGCAGATCTGTGAGTCAAGGCAAGACTGACGCAAAATTTGAAAAAAAGAAAAGTGAGAGTTTATTTTCTTACAAAGCCAACAGGTCTCTGAGGATGGTATTTGATCTGCAAAGAATTCCTCCGGCAGAGTATCATTCTGGTAGTCCCTGCCTCTACAGCTAATCCAAATACTACGTTCCCTGTGTTCCACTTGGGAGGCTGGACAGCCTGAAAAACCTGAAGTCAGCCTGAGTTATAATATAGTGATA